GAGTGTTGTAATATTAACTGGACCAAGAATGAGTAAATCTTTTCAAGCTGTCTCCTCTCCTCCCAGGCCTGGAAGTTACCTGGAGAAGTTGCCATCTCCCTTGTGATTCCTGAACACCTTTGCGAAGCTTGGCTGTGGGTGATGGAAGTACTTCGGTCCTGGAACTGCCTCCAGGACCTCATAAACTTCATCTGCTAGTTGTCTAGCTAAAGCATCTTGTCCCTCCACTCTAGCGAAATCCTCTGGAGAAGTGGGGTGGGAAATAGGACCAGGCTATGGTCCCAGATCAGGAGGAGCTTGCTGGTTTCCTGACTCTTGGGCAGGTATAGTGTTCCTGCTCCCTGGTGTCAGCTGCCTCAACATTTTGGGGCTAGTTTAAGATACCATCTTGTCCTTCTGTAGAAGGAGGCTGATCCCTCTGGCAATGGTTCATCTCATAGTAAGTCACCCACGTGGGCTATGTAAATTGTCTGAGGAAATGCAGGTACAGAAGACCAAACGTCTAGGTAAGCGTGGTTTCCCAGCTGTGCAAGTCTGGGTGGCAGACCTGATTTGGGGAAGGTGTTTAGATGAAGGGAGGGATAACACACTTTTCAAATACAAGAAGTGTTACCTTTGGGATATGTTGGTCGCAGCCAGAAAATTGGAAGATCCCCGCAAAGCTCTAAAATTTTGGGGCTTAGGAAACTGTTATGCTTGATAGGCTCGTCTGCAGCCACCCAGATAAGGGAGTTTTCGTCAAATCTCACAGGCATGATTTCATCTTCCTGCAAATAGAAGAGCGTAAATCCTTTGCTAGCTCAGTGAACAGTCATGTGCCTGCTTGCTGTTAATTCTTGAGCATCAAACTGTATAATCATCCGCTGCAGCTAACACCAAGCATCCTTCTGTTTCATGAATGTGAACCAACTGTACTGAGCCAAAGCCTGAGTAAAGGTCACCACCGCTGAAACGAATGGCAAAACTACTGTCAGCTTTGGTAGGATGAAGATTTCACCCAGCTCTCTCTTGGCAGGCTTTTGCCCCATGTACAAGAACTAGGTGTCGGAGATCTTTCAGCCCAAAGCGCCAGATTTTCAGGTGGTAGAAACTGCGAAGATTTACCACCTTCAGCAAAGCAGCAATGAAATGCGTCAGCTAAAACCAAGACCCTAATCTTTTATCATGCCCCATTCTCATTTGATGTACTCTCAAGAGATAACTACATTTACAATAGAGGGGGGGAAAAAAAATCTTGTTCAAGTTCTAGAGAGGATTATAGCTTGAGAACTGCTCCAGCTTCCAGCTTTAAGTCAATGTGATCAGTCTGATTAAAGGTCTCGTTTGGTAAAAGTAATTCAATTGACCAAAAGCTTGAAGTGCAAGTTAAAGGAGCCTGCCTTTTTGAAGTGTACCCTGCAGGTTTTTGGTTCATATCTTCAAAGTAATGTAGGAAAATGTCAGTGATTGATTCTTAATGGTTGTTAGTTCAAAGTATTATTTTACATAAAATGTGTAAGTATTTTATAGCAACAGTGAAATATTAAAAGAAAACCAACTTGTGAATAATGAAAATCAGTATGATTTCAAAGTTAAAATTCTAAAGTGCTTCCATAAAAGTCATCAAAACTTGTTATGTAACTGACTAGATCAATTTATTCTGTCGAGTTGCTGTTCCTTTAATGTGTTTATTGATTTCTTTTGTAGGTCTCAAGTCATTTAAGTTTGCTATCCAATCTGTCTAGTGAGAAGTGCTCTTTATTTATATTCTCCCACTTAAGCTTTTATCAGCATTAGAAATATCTGAATCTAGTTTTCTGAAATAAAAATACCCTTTGTTTCTCTTTGAGACGATCCTGACTTGTGAGCAGGCAGTTTGGGTATCTATAAAAGCTTATTTTAATCAACCATTTTTGTCAGCAGTGTTGGTTATGATAACATGTTGTAAGAAAGTGGCGTAGGCATGCTTTCTCCTAAATACATGTGTATCAGAGAGGGGACTTGCTCTAGAAAAATAAATAACTACTTCGCCATTCCTGTTGTACATCTAACCTGGAAAGTCAGGCAACGGGGAAAGGGTAACAGCCCAACAGTGGCACTAAACCGGCTGCTTGTTTTGGCCTCAGTGTGTACGATTTGTTGCAGTGGTTGTGTACATGATGCATCTTTGGAGAAGATGCACAGAAAACAGAATAAGGAAGAAGGTTTGCTGTAGCCAGTAGAAGATTAGGAATAACTCTTGGACTATTTTAGGATAATGTGTTCAGGACCATGACTTTATTCTTACAAAAAGATGAAAAATCGAAACCTTGACTTTAGGCAATAGTGCTAATGAAGTCAAGAAGCCCAACCTGCCTTTAAAATAAGGCAAGGCGAGAAAGATCTAGGTCTCTGCTTGGAATTTGGGCAAGATCTCTCCCCCATCATGGAGGAAATCCCACCAACCTCAGCAGACTTCGTGACATCGCTGGTGGCTTGCTGATTGAATTTAGAGAGACCTTTGTTCCCTTCATTTTAAAGTAGTAGATGTTGAGGATTCACAGCACCGTTGCGGGTAGATGCAGCCTTAACAGTGCCTCTCTCCCAGCTAATCGTATCTGCTTTTATTTTCTCGAGAGCGGACCAAACACAGGGAGAGGGGTTGTGGATCTCCAGTGCTCTCCTGCCGGTGGCTGAGCCCTTGCCAGTGTCCAGGCTCAGCCGTACTCAAGTGTGATGAGTTTGGGGGTCTGAGCTCTGGGAAACTCAGGCTTTGCACACCCAAAGTGATCGGCTTTTGTACACATGAGGTAAGGAGAGGTTTTGGCAATATCTGGCTGAGAACTGCAGCTTTTGTGGTGGTTGCAATGCAGGTTCCATGAAATTCAGTCAACACAGTGTCCTAAAATGAAGTCTGCCATCTAAGAAGGCAAATTCTTAGTTTTTTTAGCTATTATTTCTTCTGAGTTAGCTGAAGTTTTGCAATGTTTTCCATGATTCCCTTTTATTGACTATTTCAGAGGACTTGAGTGATGGAGTCCTTGCTTCTGCTCGAGAGTGTTGGCAGAAATCTCCTGAGATCTCCTGCTATCCCTCTTCGCATTAACTAAACCAGCTGCTTCCTCCATCCCCTCCCTTCCAGCCTTGTGCATGGCCTGATCTCAAGCAGATGCTTTAGTCACTGAGGTCTCCTGTGGATCCACTAGACATTGCTCTAAAGCTTCCCCCGCTCCCCAGTCTGCAGCCTCTCGTGATGCCCCTGGACGCAGTGACACCTCCGGCGCCAATCTTGCTTCTCTTACCTTTCAGGGGCCCTTAGCAATCAGGCGATGAACCCTCAGCCATCTTGCCCTGCCCTACCCTCAACAACCCTACCACTACCCACAGTGGCTTTCAAATGTCATTTTTATTTGTATTTAAATATTGCTTTAACACTCTCTCTATACAAAGATTTCGGTTTGGTTTTTTTTTTTTTAAATCAATAAATTACCCCTTACCAGCTCAGACGAGAGGCTCGCTTTAGTCATAGCATCAACTTCGGGGACACGAGCTTTTGGCTGAGCTTTGATGTAACACTTTTCTCCTTCAGCAAAACGGATTCCAGTTATGCCCTGGAAAAGCAGAAGGCAGGGGGTTGTGTGCAGCCCTCTAGCTCCCCGCCGCCCCCAAGAAAGCGCTCGAGCTTTGCTAAAATTGCCACTGAATTTTTAGTCTGAAGGTTAAATCTTCCTTAAAACCAGATGCAATGAAACGCTCT